GAAGTGTTTCGGCCCTCCAGGACCGGAATTGAAGAACCCTGCTGTAAAACAACACATTTCACTGCACCTATCTGGTGTGTGGCAATAAAACATATATTTACAGCCGGTATGATGCATTTCTGTATTTTAAAGTTATATATCTTGAAAACTTGATTGCTGACATAGAAAACATTTTGGAACTATATCAACAATGGACTCATTAAACAAATACCAAAAGATAGTTTTTGGGTGGTTTTATTTTTGTTTTAAGCTTTCCCCAAACCATAGCCCTAACCTTAACCACTAGGAATTAATGCGTCAAAAACAGACGCATATGTTATATGTTGGTAAAATCCCCTTACCCTCATACCCCCCCACCAGTACAGCCACCCCATCCATTCCACACCTGTGCTATAGGCCTGCCATGTGAATTGGGGCTTTCATAATGCCACCGTCCTGAGTCATCCCCAAAAGGTTACACTGAGTGTGTCCACAATACATACATTATACTACTATAACTGACTGGAGCCCAGCAGAGACATCAGGAACGCTCTCAGTGCTGCCAACACCTGCTCCTCTCCCCTCCGCTCCCCTCCCCTCTTCCTATCTGGTGTGTGACAATAAAACATCTATTTTTGTGCGGCCTAAGCCAAAGCACATCAGAGTCACAGCAGACAGAGCAGCAGCAGCATGAGTGTTTCCATCTCAGTGAGGTAGGTCTGTAGACAGTGGATGATGTCCGCCATTCTATGGCCTTCACTACAACGTAATGGGTTTGGAGGGCTCTACTGTGAACACATAGACACTGCAAACCTCTGCCCCTGTTAGTCTATTGCAGGGTTCCCCAATAGGTGGCTGACGGGCTAAATTCGGTCCTTGTGTGATATTATTTGGCCCCCAAGTTTTCTGAGCAAAACAATAATGGAAATCTGTTCCCAAGAGGCATATGTGATCGTATCCCAATGTAATCAAGGATTGAAATGATTCTGTTTTTGTCAAATACCATATCTGTTTGGGAATCTTGCGGTGAATTTGCAGTGTCCAAATGATTTATAACTATGTTCTGGCCCCCCGAAAAATCGGCCCAAGGCTGAATGTAATTGGGGGCCCCTGGTCTATTAGACAGAAGCATCTATTAATCATGTGTTGATCTCATGCTAACATGTCTTTTTGGTCTTTATATTTTTTTTATGTATATGTGTTTTTGTTCCGCTTTGTTCCTCTGTTTTCCACATGCCAATAGTGATATAACTAGACAAAGTGACATTGACTCAGCACACAGAGTGAGTGTGTGTGTGGTAGTGATGTGCGGGTTGACTCATAACCTGCAGTCCCCGCGGTTATATTCACAGGGCGTGCGGGTTTAGGGTCATTAAATATTGTGTGGATGAAGGGCGGGTGGGTGGCGGACGGGTTGAATAAAGAAACACAATACATAAAAAATACATAAATGTATAACTCTTGTGCAATTCATATCTACAGGCTACATTCAGGTTTTTCTTTCATTATTTTTATCTGGCGTTAGGGCGTAAGCCTAAGCTTTAGGGCCTAACTGTATGCACGCTAAATACACGCCAATTGCCAAATGGTTTTGGGAACTTGGGCAGAAAAGGTTAACATTGATCCACTGTTGGAGTTTAATTCAATAAGAGAAAAGCGGTGAAATGGAGAGTTGAAAATAAAGAGAAGGGAGGGCCAGAACAGTAGCCTAATGTTAGGGAAATATGTTATGTGTGATGATTCTGAGGCGCTATACAAATTTGACAGTCAGAAGACGGGGACTTCAAATATGGCACGTCAAGGAAACTGTACTGTTCAGATGGATTTAATGGAATAGTAGGCCTAACTGAAATCTGGACACTGACTGTAGGTCTATAACCTCTCACATAGCCTAATATAATATTAAATCCTGCAGAATTAAACAATTATTGCAGTAAAATGATACACCAAATGTACATTTTGACTTGGGAACAGGAGTGGAGAAATATTTTTCTTTCTTTCAGCATCTTGAGAGAATGAATGCTCTGTTAGGGACCGTCTGTAAAGGTGCTATCTTTATCAGCATCATAAAAGCTGATACTATTTCAACCACATAAAATACACATCCAAGCCAAACTGAAATCTTATCAGAAACATTGAATTGTTTTTGTTGGGTTTTCACAGCTTTTAAAGGAGAACTGCAAGTGTTTTCATCAATGCTCATTAAGAAATGCTAGCGGCCATGACTGAAGGCAAACAAGAGTTGTCTTCGGGGTGTGGTTTCATGTCGGTGTTTTTTTTTGGGGGGGGGGTGTATTTGCCATTCAATCACAACAAACAAGGGCTTATTCAGTTCTATGTGTGGGCTCAAGTAGAGCGGAAGAGGCAAATAGAAAGTAAAGTGGGCAGTGACTTTGTCTTTAGCCAAGCTGAGAGCAGCTAGCTCACCGTCAGCAACAACACCAGGCACAGTCTCACACTTGACGGTTGACAGCCCGCAGAACTTGTAGCTAGCGTTGGATGTAATCCATATCCTGGCCATCTGATTGTTGAAAAACTTTACGGAAGCCCAATTTCACTAGAGTAGCTATTTCCCGATCAAAATGTGCATTGTACATAAAGCTACTGCCAAAGATGGTCGAAAATGAGCAAACCCGGTGCACCAGGCCATGCAAAACAAGTCCCCCAGACAACACTGTGTTGTCTGAGGGATTTGTTTTGCATGGCCTGGTGCGCCGGGTTTGCTCATTTTCGACCATTTCATTGGTCCTCCTAATGAGAGGTTTCCGCCAGCCAGGGGCACCGAGCCATGCAAAGCGAACTCGCCCAGTCTTTTCCCAGAAAACACGGTGCCACCACGTGTTAATAGACAAAAGGAGGAGTGAATTGTTTACATAATTGTAATCCAAACCAAACCCTCAAGTAAGTCATGACGCAGTCACTTACTAAACTCAGTTTTGGACTAGACTGACATTATAACCTAAATTATCCTATTTACACTTTGTAGTCAATTTTGACACCAGAATGAATGTTTCTGACACATATCAATGCTACATAGGCCCTTAAAACAGTTCAAGCTGATTGAAAAAATCTTTCACATGTTTTAAATTTTTTTATAGCATTTTCTCCCCGGTCCCTAAACGTCTTTGGTGCGCAAGAGATGCAGAGATGAAAGAGAAAACTACTAGATTAAAGCGTTCATTCTATCGATGTATGACATATTTTCTGGTGAGCAAGGATGTTTGACAGAAGAGAAGAGCCTACCAAAATGTTGGCTAACAAATAGCCTACCAAAATGTTGGCAATTATAAGCAGAAACATAGCCCTAAAAAAATCCCTCACCCCGTGTCAAAGATTTGTTCTGGCATCTCTGACTGTACGCCGCATTTTCTATATTTGCAGGTTAGGGTCGGGTGCGGGCCTCAGATTTTCACTTGATCACATATAGCCAGGCGGTTGCAGATGGGTTATTAGCAATTGCATGTGGGTGCGGGTGAATGAACAGCTGACCCCAGCATCATTGGTGTGTAGGCTATATGGATGATTCTACAGAAGTGGTGTAAATTAGAGACCCACCCCAAAAACGATATTTATAAAAGCTGTTAAGTCTCTACACTTATGACATTTATTTGCATCTTGATATGTTCTTATTCAATCCAAGGCAATACCAAACATATTGTTCAATGAATATAGTACAAAGTCATTGTTTATACACCTATTTCTATAGAGCGGTGGCTGTCCCAAACCCTGACTCATGTTTGAAAACACCAGGTAACCTAGCGGTTAAGAGCATTGGAACAGCAACCAAAAGGTCACTGATTCAAATCCCCGAGCCGACTACGTGAAAAATCTGTTGATGTGCCCTTGGGCAAGGCACGTAACCCTAATTGCTCCTGCAAGTCGCTCTCGATAAGGGCACTAAAATGAAAATAAATCAAACACTATTATTTCAACAGAACATCTTCAGTTGTTTTATTATTACATTGAAAGTTACCAATATAATCAGTCGTTGTGTTTATTTTTAAACATGAATGAATGTGCCTTAAGCCACACCCCTCTCCAGCATGTCTACATGCTGAGTAGTCTGTCCGCAAAAGTTTTTGAGAAAATCAGAGAGCAAGTTGGTAAGTCTTTATGTATTTTAAGAAGTGTCACTACCAAATTTCTAATATATCAAGAAATATGTAAAGCATCATTTTGGGACTCAAATTATATGTTTGCTGGGATGTGACTTCAGAAAGTATTCATGCCCTGGACGTTTTCCACATTTTGTTGTGTTACAGCCTGAATTTAAAATGGATTTAATTGAGATTTTTTTTGTCACTGGCCTAAACACACAATACCCCATAATGTCAATGTGGAATTATGTTTTTCAAAATGTGTACAAATTAACAAAAAATGAAAAGCTGAAATGTCTTGAGCAAATAAGTATTTAACCCCTTTGTTATGGCAAGCCTAAATAAGCTCAGGAGTAAAAATGTCACATAAGTTGCATGGACTCACTCTGTATGCAATACTAGTGTTTAACACAATTTTTTGAATAACTACCTCATCTCTGTACCCCACACATACAATTATCTGTAAGGTCCCTCAGTTGAGCAGTGAATTTCAAAAACAGATTCAACCACAAAGACCAGGGAGGTTACCATTGCCTCGCAAAGAAGGGCACCTATTGGTAGATGAGGGAAATAAATTAAAAGCAGACATTGAATATCCATTTGAGCATGCTGAAGTTATGAATTACACTTTGGATGGTGTATCAATACACCCAGTCACTACAAAGATACAGGCATCCTTCCTAACTCAGTTTCCAGAGAGGAAGGAAATATGGTGACTTTAAAACAGTTAGAGTTTAATGGATGTGACAGGAGAAAACAAAGGATGGATCAACAACATTGTAGTTACTCCACAATACTAACCTAATTAACAGAGTGAAAAGAAGGAAGCCTGTACAGAATAACAAATATTCCAAAGCATGCATCCTGTTTGCAATTAACTTTTTGTCCTGAATTCAAAGTGTTATGTTTGGGGCAAATCCAATACAACACATTACTGAGTACCACTCTCCATTTTTTCATGTTTTATGGGTATGCTTGTAATCCTAAAAGACTGGGGAGTTTTTCAGGATAAAAAAGAAAAGGAATGGAGCTAAGGACAGACAAAATCCTAGAGGAAAACCTGGTTCAGTCTGATTTCCACCAGACACTGCTCAGTTGGTAGAGCATGGCGCTTGCAACGCCAGGGTTGTGGGTTTGATTCCAACGGGGGGCCAGTATGAAAAATTTATGCACTCACTAACTGTAAGTCGCTCTGGATAAGAGCGTCTTCTAAATAACAAAAAATAAAAATAAATACAAAAATACAAAAAATACAAAAATAATGAATTCACCTTTCAGCAGGAGAATAACCTAAAACACATGGCCAAATCTCTACTGGAGTTGCTTACCAAAAAGACAGTGAATGTTCCTGAGTGGCAGAGTTAGTTTTGACCTAAATCTGCTTGAAAATCTATGGCAAGACTTGGTTGTAAATGGTTGTCTAGCAATGATCAACCACCAATTTCACAAAGCTTGAAGAATTTTTTAAAGAATAATGGGCAAATATTGTACAATCCAGGTGTACAAAGCTCTTTGAGACTTACCCAGAAAGACTCACAGCTGTAATCACTGCCAGAGGTGATTCTAACATGTATTGACTCAGGGGTGTGAATACTTATGTAAATTAGACATTTATGTGTTTCATTTTCAATACATTTGCAAAAATGTATAAAAACAAGTTTTCACGTTGTCATTATGGTTTATTGTTTGTAGATGGGTGAGAAGAAAAACTATTTAATCCATTTTGAATTCAGGCTGTAACACAACAAAATGTGGAATAGGTCAAGGAGTATGAACGCTTTCTGAAGGCACTGTACATCTGTCCAAATGAAATGTTAGCTATCGCCATATGCTAGCTATGTGGATTCTTTAAAGTCAAAAATAAGTCAAAATTGTCCAGCCCGGAATGGTCACAACCGAAACAATTGACACCATTGTGTATCTGTGCCATTATGGCATCTATGACGGCACAGGCAGTGCCATTGAGGCTATCTCCATTTTAAAAGTTGTGTGTGCCATGCTCTACCAGCTGAGCTACAGAGGACCACTATGTGAGTAGTGGATAAGTGCACACTTCAGGAAAAAGTGTAGAGTATTGAGATGCATAGCCAGCAGGGGGGCTCCAACCCTCCAAGAGCCCAAGCATTTACATATATTTGGCCAAAGCATAGATGTCTATAATTTGCTCTACTGTACTGTACTGTACAATCTCACAGGCCAGTCAGATATAATTTTTTATTTTATTTATTTCACCTTTATTTAACCAGGTAAGCCAGTTGAGAACAAGTTCTCATTTACAACTGCGACCTGGCCAAGATAAAGCAAAGCAGTGCGATAAAAACAACAACACAGAGTTACATATGGGGTAAAAAAAACATAAAGTCAAAAAAATACAACAGAAAATATATATACAGTGTGTGCAAATGTAGCAAGTTATGGTGGTAAGGCAATAAATAGGCTATAGTGCAAAATAATTACAATTAGTATTAACACTGGAATGCTAGATGTGCAAGAGATTATGTGCAAATAGAGATACTGGGGTGCAAAAGAGCAAAATAAATAACAATATAGGGATGAGGTAGTTGGGTGGGCTAATTTCAGATGGGCTGTGTACAGGTGCAGTGATCGGTAAGGTGCTCTGACAACTGATGCTTAAAGTTAGTGAGGGAGATAAGAGTCTCCAGCTTCAGAGATTTTTGCAATTCGTTCCAGTCATTGGCAGCAGAGAACTGGAAGGAATGGCGGCCAAAGGAGGTGTTGGCTTTGGGAATGACCAGTGAGATATACCTGCTGGAGCGCAGACTACGGGTGGGTGCTGCTATGGTGACCAATGAGCTAAGATAAGGCGGGGATTTGCCTAGCAGTGATTTATAGATGGCCTGGAGCCAGTGGGTTTGACGACGAACATGTAGTGAGGACCAGCCAACAAGAGCGTACAGGTCACAGTGGTGGGTAGTGTATGGGGCTTTGGAGACAAAACGGATGGCACTGTGATAGACTACATCCAATTTGCTGAGTAGAGTGTTGGAGGCAATTTTGTAAATGACATCGCCGAAGTCAAGGATCGGTAGGATAGTCAGTTTTACGAGGGCATGTTTGGCAGCATGAGTGAAGGAGGCTTTGTTGCGAAATAGGAAGCCGATTCTAGATTTTAAAAAAAAACTTTGGATTGGAGATTCTTAATGTGAGTCTGGAAGGAGAGTTTACAGTCTAACCAGACACCTAGGTATTTGTAGTTGTCCACATACTCTAGGTCAGACCCGTCGAGAGTGGTGATTCTAGTTGGGTGGGCGGGTGCCAGCAGCGTTCGATTGAAGAGCATGCATTTAGTTTTACTAGTGTTTAAGAGCAGTTGGAGGCTACTGAAAGAGTGTTGTATGGCATTGAAGCTCGTTTGGAGGTTTGTTAACACAGTGTCCAATGAAGGGCCAGATGTATACAAAAT